TTTTTAATTTTTATTTTATTAATTAATTTATTTTTTCCGGAATTTTCAGAAAAGTCCACTTTCATCTCTGGAGTTAGAATGTCTTGCAATGAGGAATGAGCTCAGGACAAGTCAACACTTTATTCTTTGACACCCACATCATTCACCAAGTCAGGCCCTGCCTTTTCAAGCCATACATACTCAAAATCACAGACGACAGTCGAAAGTTAGGATGGTGACCCCAAGTGGACATGGATAATAACTGCACCTTATGGGCATGCGCTCTTGTAGTATTTCAAAATGCCACGTGGATTTGTATGCCATCACTCGAGGCGATGGGATCATTGGTGGAAGATTCATCTCCACACTGCTGAACGTTTGAATGTCGAACAGGTGGTGGACTACTTGACTCAGTATTCCGGCATCAAACCGGGTGACCTGGATGCCAAGATCTCGTCCAAGCACTTGACGACTCTGAAGTCCACCTACCTCAAGCTGCGCTTCCTTATCGACACAGGAGTCCGCTTTGTCGGTCACGGCTTGCAGAAGGACTTCCGAGTGATCAATTTATTGGTATACTTTCTGCGCTGTCCACATTTCCACATCCAGTTGAATGCGATTTAAGAGTTGGCTCATCGAGTATGACGATACTTCTTTCCAGGTGCTCAAAGACCAAGTCATTGATACCGTCTACCTTTTCCATTTGCCTCGGAAGAGGATGATCTCGCTGCGCTTTCTCGCCTGGTACTTTCTCGGTAAGTCTGCCAAGGGGAAAATGACCAAATGGGATTCTAGCACACTCATCTTGTAAGTGGGTCTGGAGCCAAGAAGTAGGATTGCATAGTTCTGAACCTACTTGCGCTTTTTGCGTCTTTTGTTCTTGTTACCTTCGGCATAGTACAGCATTGTGTTCAACGTGTACACTGCTGCTCTTCTAACTGCTTAGACAGCTCATCTGGATCAAGTTAAACATTCCTTTGTAAACACTTGCACGTACAGTGCTGCTCCTCCTTGTTGAAGGAATTACAATCTTCATTTATTGGATAGTTTCCCCCACTGTAGATCACCAAATTTGGGGGTATGTGGAGGAAAGGAGAACCACAGTTGCGGATGCATTTCTCATATAGCTACTGAACGGCGGGAGACCGGTAAAACACATGAACACGATGAGTACAAGCATGCAGGAGCTGCTGTCGGCTACAGACTCGAGGATGTTGCATGTTGCTCCACAAGAGCCCGCTTCTTGAACAGTGTTTCCGCGGCTTATTTAAAAGCAAAACAAGTCATGAAGTGGGTTCTGAGAAAATTAAGGCCTTAAAAGGCATTCAAAAGCAAAACGCACCATGTCCAGAGGCATTAAGAACTGATATACAATCGGTGGAAAAAAAGCTCTTCTCATATTATTTTGATGAATCATTTAATAGTGGCTTGAAACAAGCGGTTTCGCAACACTGTTTCTGCGTTAATATTTCACGCCTCAATATTAACAAATTGGAATGTCATACATTTGTGTTCAGACCAATTTTTGTGGTTGGCAACAGAGTTGGTCGACTTTTTTCCCCGGCCCTGAACTGAAATGATGAAAAAGAGTTAAATGCTATTATTTCCACAATTGAGTAGCACTTGCACATTGTCGTTTTTCTCATATCGCTGACGTCGGGCCAAAGCCTTCTTTCTCACAACATGCATGCACCATTTCCACATTTGGGCTACGGAGGCGGGCTATCTTCCAGTCGCTATTGTAATGCATTGTGATGGTATCAAACTCAATAAAATAACAATCGCAAGCTGCTGAAATGACGTCGATACCATAAACGGTGTTTCACGTTATAATTGGCTCCAGTTGCACCGTGTCCGATTTCATGAGCCATTTGCTCTATCACAGTACATGCACGTCGATGTGAACGTTGACTTGCGCGTCTTATTTTGACACGCTCAGCCCAACTTTGTTTTGAGGGCATGAAAACAACCACAAAATAGAATACCAAGTCTCTATTGTCACATTCTATAGTGCCAAGAATTAAGTGTCAAGAATTAAGTCTTTTTTAGCGTCATGGTAGCTTGGAATAAACGGAAGCCGGAAGCTTGTACACCTCCATATTTTTCACTGGGAATACGTCATGAGCTGATTGGTAAAGTTCACATTTTTGCCACCAATGTATACTATTGTGTGGGCAATATTTTTTTCCTAATGATTGACCAATGTAAAGTGTTGCAAATGTCATTTTGCTCTTTACCGTTGCAATGTTAATGGTTGAACCAACGTGACATTTTTGGGCTCTCATGAAAAGTGCTGATTTTGGAGGTACCGTTCTTATGACGCCGGCGAAATTTCTACATGGCAGTAAAACTAGTGTGGAAACACCAAGATCGAGGTTTCCCCTTTTTTCATTTGTCTTCCTGTTACTCTCCACTTTGCTGCTCAATTTCCCCACTAATGAAGGCTTAAATCAAATCGAAATGTCCTTCCCTCCTGCTATCAGACCTGAGCATCCAGGGGGAAACCCACGACAGCATCGAGGACGCGCGCACGGCCCTGCAGCTCTACAGGAAGTATTTAGAAGTGAGTCGTGGAGGCGGCCCCGACCAAGTCAGGAAGGTCCTGAAGGGACTTTATGAAAAAGGCCGCCAGATGGACTGGAAAGTCCCAGATGTGGACGCGGGAGATGGTGGAGGTAGCCCAAAAAGTACGAAATGATGTGGAAGGAAGTGTGCGCCAACTGCAGCGGGGGTGGAACCTCTGCAAAGGACTCATGCGACTCTTCTTCCTCCGGCAGGTGCTGCGCTGTTTCCTCCCGTCGTCGGCCTGTGACTCAACAACGGCAATGTCGTCACCATTTCTTATCTTCCTTTTGCAGAGCCAATCGGTCTTTCATCAGCGCTTGTCACCATTGACACTTTTTACTTTGGAAATGATTCTTTGAACAGGAAGTGAGGTTACTGTTTTTAGAAAACCCCAAGTTGTTTGTTTTCTTTGCTCTGAAAAGTTGTTGGTGCATGTAAATAAAGAAATGGAACGTGAGCACCAGGAACTCAAGTCTCAAATGTGTTTGTGAAAGATGAACATCACTCAAGCTTCCAAAAAGCGCCACGACGTGAATTAGTGCCATGGTTCTCACTCTGGGCGCCGCAAACGAAGAATATCTGTTGAATCATTTTCAAAAGGTCCGTGCGACTCTGGATGTTTGGCAAGGGTCTCAAAGTCAATTTATACGGGGCCGCTGGAGATCGAGTCTGGGCCGCATTGAGTACTCCACAAAAACTACAACTAACCCAACCATCGATCCTCAGTGAATGCTTCTTTAGAAGGTGAAGAAGATTGGCAGGCCGGTCTTCTCTCATCTCACTGCTACTTCGCGTCCTCCTCAGCATTTCTACTTCAGTCACGACGTTGGTTTTCTTGAGCACCACTTTCTTGAGCACCACAATTTTCTCTGTGCATTCAAGACATGCCGGGTTGCCACCGTGGTCAGCAACAAAACCTCCCGTCTCCTGTTTTTCTTGAAATTGGCCGTTTTCTTTGGCAAGGTTTCCCATCACGGCAGCTTTTGAAAAAGAAATGACTGGGACTCGGTGACAGGTATATCTTTTTCTTCCACTTGGTGTCACCTAAGGATTGTTTCCACGAAAGCTGTGATGAGCCTGAGCTACGGTCGCTGATAAGTGATTTAAACCATGCGCACTTGAAATGCCTGGGGCAACGACATGGCAAAAAAAAAAAAAAGCGTCGGGGGTGCACCGACATTGAACTGATTTCAATTAGTGGTCTGCAAAATATCCTGTGGGCTGCAAATGGCCCCTGGGCTGCAAGTTTCAGCCCCCTGATATTTAAATGGAACCAATAAATAAAAAGCCAATTATTTTTTACCTATCTTAACTTTTGGGCAATTAATAGCTATCATACAATTGTGATGTGTCATCAATAATCCCTTTGTTAATACAGTATAATATTTCAGGACTAAAGGAAACATTTCAAGAGCAAATGGCATAATTATTTGAGATGTGCCATATATATATATAAAATGCAGTATATATAGTTATTTTAAATTTCAAGGCATCTTTTCCACAGAGATAAGACAATTGTAACAGTTGAACAGAATGAACGTGTATGCTGTATTTGAAATTAACTTATTAAAATGACTTTCTTCCCTCATTAAACTTTGATTTTAACAAAAAAAAATGTGATTTTACTGGCGTAAGGCGACACCAAAATACTTGTTTTTATAAAAATTACTTTATATTACTTATCTTCTTTTTTTTGGAGGGGTGGGGGGGTATGTTGTTTTAAAAACACTGACGCCCTCTGCTGGCTGAATTTGTTTGTCCTTTTAAACGACATGTCAGTACTGTACAGGATTCAACACGGTAACTGCAATATTTCCCAACATTTATTGAGCCAAGGCAGAAATTATACTTGAAAAAAATCTCAGTAGTACAGTCAGGTGCATAACCTTTGGGATATTGACGCAATTATCTTGTCTTTGGTTCTTAACACCACTGTTCCATCATAGTAAAAGACAGTCCTGTTTCAAATGAATTCGGGCCTCTGAGCAAAGTCCAATCTTCTGAACTTGATGCCACCTTTCCTTGATTTTTGTTGGATGATGACATCAGGTCAAGGAGAGATGAAAAGGTGTTTCCTTTCAAACACAGGACAGCGCTGTTTCAAATGTTTTTCTTTCACTCTAGTTTATTGAGCCTGTCAAATTATCACTTAAACAATCAGACAAAAGTTATTAATACATATACAGTATGAGAGTAAGAGAGAGTACGAATGGAAAGAAGAGCCAGTGAGATTTTCAACAAAATGTCTAAAAAGAGAACATAAAGCAAGTCTTAACTGCTTTTTTTCTTTTTGGAATCTAAAATAGTATTCGTGTGCTATTTGATTTCTGCCTCAACATTTTAGAAAAGAGGTTTTGAGTGACGATTTTTGGATTTGTAGAAACTGAATTTTGCTTGAATAATTAATTATAATGATATATTTTATATATAATAATTAATAATCGACACATCTTTATTAGAAATTAATTATTGTGTCTATTATTATTTGTTTTAGGCATTGTTATTGAAGAATTCAAACCGTAAAGAATAAAATCAGTGAGTGTTGCAGGTACTGGAATGCATAACAAAGTAACATAATTGTTTTCCTGAAATACAGGTTAGTGTTAAAACTGCAGAGCCAGCGACACTTTTCACTGTCGTTCGCCACGTTTCAACGGCAATTTTTTTCACACACTTTGCAAAATACACATTAACCAAAAATGTCCGTTGCTTGCTTTGTCCCAATTGCATCATGATCCAGTATTAACAATACTGTGCTACACTTGCCTATCAAGAAATGTACATGGTCTTTGTTTACTGAAAACAAAATATTTGTAAATCACAATACACTCTTGTCAATCTTCAATACAATCAAAATCATTTGTAACTTTTTCTTGTCCTTCTCACGTCAACTTCCTCAACCGTCTTTGGATCAATTCTTCAGTGTGCATCTTTTGCACCCTCAAAAGGAAGACACGTCTCCGTTCTTCGTTTGGGCAACTTTACTTTCCCAGTTCAGTTGGAGGTGACGTGAAGCATTTAGCATCGAACAGACTGTCACTCGGGAGGTCTTTTTTTCGCACTTTTTCGTGGCCTCCGGTTTTTTTTTTTGTTGTTTGTTTTTTTAAACAATCTTTATTGAAAAAGTCAGGATACAATTCTTAGTAAACAGAAAACAAAACGAACAATTTAAATTTCGTGGCCTCCGTCTATTCTCCCTCCTTCTTTATGACGCCATGAGCCACAAAACCTGTGGTCCTAACAAAACGAGAATACTCAAGAGAATGTGTAAAAATGAAAAAGAGGAGAATAAGGGCGTCCCTTGACTGAAATTATAGCTTTTGACACATGAATGAAATATAAAGCCTTCAGCACTTCCAACAAGCCAAGACGACGATACGCACTGGCAATGCCCTCACTTTGTACACATCTTTGACCCCACAATGAAATATAATATACTCAAACATATAATTATTTTGCAAAGTTGATTTGAAAACCTTTACCCACCTGAAAAAACAGGTTAAAGTGTTAAAACAGCAGAGACTGCGACACTGTTGACTCCCATCTATTGACTAAATTGAGTACTTTTCGTTTGACACAATAGAATTAGGCCAACAGGAAAATGGAGAATTGTTGGTTGAACGTCAGTGTGACATCTTACATGGAGAATCTTCCACCTCACCGCAAGACCTACATCAACAAGAGATCAATCTTCATGTGATGTTTTTATTCTAATGTACTTCGAATCAAGGACACCTGCTGTTCAAAATAGGTGTGTGATCAAAGCAAAACACTAATTACAAGGAAGCCAACATCATACTAAAAATAGCCAAAATATGTCCTCCAATTCTGCAATGACTACTAGATTCCCCAGTTTTTCCACATCAAACTATTCTGGGGGACATGCCAAATCTAACACTCTTAACTGAAAAGATCCTACATTCATAGCAAATAATTCAAGGCCAACTCTGTGCATATTGCAAATGGTTTATTGGAAATAAATGAAATGTGCCAATGGGTCGATGGGGATGGAGAGAGTGGGTGGGGCAGGCCGAGATCTTTGGTCCATTTATTGTGTTGGTGTTGGTGGGATCAATCAGTGGGAGACCAGAAGAAGAAAAGGCACTTGGGTTTGCGGCTGTCTCAGCAACGAGATGTCCATGATGCCTAAAGTAAATATTCACATACAAAATGCATACATGTACTACACAGGAAAGACAGCCAAGTGGGCGTAGTCGGTTGAGACATTACATTTAGAGAAGCAATCTCCGAGGGGTATTTTTGTTAAGGAAAGAAAAAAGTTTGACTGGGATATGAATAAGTCTTTGGTGATAAATTAACGTTTCTACACTTTGCGCCCCCACCCCCTCCCCTCCCAAAAACACATCATGGTTTTCAAGTTATGATTAAACCAACAGCAGAAATGATAACATCAGTCAGTTACAGGAACATCTGCAGGAATAGTTCGGAAACGCCATCACATTTCTAATCGCTAATTAGCTTAGCCTGCTAAATAAGGCTAACATAGCTGTTAGCACCTTCAAAGCTCACGTGATAAAACTACATTATATTCCGCTTGTCATGCATACAAAAAGACGAGGTGGGAAGAAATATCACCTATGAACTTTGAGGATGCTAGCTGGGCTAGCCCATCATTCTTTTTTTTTTTTTTTTTTTTTTTAAATGAAGCTAAACAGACGCTCGCTATAGCTTGATTTCCCCAATGTATTTTTCAGTCAAAAGATATTCTGGAACCATTCTACTGCAAGCTATATTGAACAAATAGTACACTTTTAAACAAAATACATTTTTAGAAATTGAAAGAAAAAAAATCTTCAGGATAATCAAGAGGAAGTAATCGGGTTTTTACATTTACTGTGTATTTTCCCACAGTTCTTTGTTTGATCGAGGCCACGGGGAAGCTTCCACAATGAGGTATTTGACTTGTTTTTCTTCACGTTTTGCTGACAAAAAGTAAGAAGCTTAACTCATGCTGTTGGAAAACAAGAGTATTTAAATAAACAAAAAAAATAGGGGGGCATATTTTTCCTTATTACACTGAAACTTATTTCACATTTTCCAAAGGAAAAAAAAAAACCATCAACCAAACAAACAAATTGACCCCCCACTCGGGACTAAGATCTGGCGCAAACAGAAAAAACGTGTGAGTAATTAAACCCCAGCTCGCCCTCCTAATCATACAGGTTTAAAACATCAACCGGCACATGCCACAAAATGACAAAAAAGCACAACTTTTGTCTCTGCAACGCTCCTCAACTCACTTCAACATAATTACTTGGCACCAAGATACAAAGCAATACTTTTATTGCCTTATTGTATCTTAAAAAAATAAAAGTACTGCTTTACCTGGGCACAAAAACAGTAATGATGAACTGAGGGGAGGGTCAAAAATTAATGCTGAGCTGCCAATATGCAGGGCTTTGTTGCCACATATCGTCAACCATAATCTATGCCAGTTGCTTTCAGTGATGAGCAGAATAATTATCTGCAATTCCATGAATTGGCAGAAGGTACAAATAATCAGCGTACCCACCTGTTGCCATTCGTACAATAGAATAACTGCCCCCCCCCCAAAAAAAAAATTGAAACGTGTTTGTTTGATGGTGTACCGTGACAATTTAACACCAGTCTGGCCAATCAGCCTAGCTCGGCAACAAACTACGGTGGTTGGCTTTTCGAGAGCTAAAGCTAAAGCACAAGTTCTCCCTGGTTTGTAGCAGCTCAGCATTAGTGTCATATGTTTCCTTTAAACGTTGATCTTGTGTCATGAATTGAAAGGGGACAAGAAAAAGGTCGAGTGGTGGGCAAATGTAGGCAGAGTTACCATTGCATTGCAGGCAGGTGTGCAGGAGATGGTGCGGCGATGCCTCACACGGGTCGGGCCTACAGTTCATAAACCACTCAAGCCACGATGCGATGAGCGCTGCTCATGTCTGAAGGATGAATGGATCGGTGGTCAAGGGAAGCATGAAAATGTGAACTTCTTTCACGGATAGTGGGCGGAGATTCAGGGAGTGCAAGGTTGAGAAGTAAAGGGGCTTCGAGTGAGCAGAGGGATTCCAATGTCAAGGGCAGGCCATCCGCGGGGGCCTTTGAGGGAGCCCGTTGTGAGAAGCTGGCTTTTGGTTGGACGCTGACGACGAAGAGGAGGAGGAGGAGGCGGCGGCATGGGGTGCACCTCGAGAGCTGTTCGAGGGGCAGCCGCCGTCACGATAGCGGTAATCTGGGCGTCCGGGTTTTCGATCGTGGTTAGAGCCGCTGTTGTAGCGCTGGCCACCAGACTGATAGCCTTGGCCCTGGAACGTGCGCCGCTTGCCTTGGAAGATCTGAGTTGCAGAATCAGAATCGCTTCATTGTAATTGTCGTACAGGGTGCAACGAAATGCAACAGACACAAGCTGTTCGACGAAGGCGTTTATATAGATTGGGTCATGTCAAGCATTTGTGTGATCAGATGAATGTGTATGCCTGAGTCCATCACAAGTTTGGGTACCACATTTGATTTGTGAAACAGACGGCTAGGTCATTCATAGATGAGCTCTAATCATTTATTCTCAATTTGTAAGTGGCAATTTATAATTGTCATTATAATTCAACAAAATATTAAATATAGGGGTGCACATTAAACAAAATTGGCATGGTTTTCAAATAAGCACCATAGGTTGTTGATTGGTGCTCATTTTTCCACCCAACCCAAAGACCGATCATGCATGAATTTAAAGACAGCACATCTGGGCAAAGTATATCATCAACATTGGTAGATCATAGGTCACGTTCATGTAACTGAAAAAACAAACAAACACTGATTTATTGTGTATTCATTGATTTTCAGTGATCAGTTTTTATTTTTTATGATCCATCCATCCATTATCCGAGCCGCTTATCCTCACGGGGGTTGGAAGCATGCAGTAGGTGGGGACAACCTGAACTGATTGCCAGCCAATCACAGGTGACGCATAGACAAACAACCATTCACAATCACACCTACGGACAATCGAGAGCATTCCATGATCCTTCTGTGCATGTTTTTGGAATGGGGGAGGCAACCGGAGTATCCGGAGAAAACCCACGCAGGGACGGGGAGAACATGCAAACTCCAAACAAGACTGCTGGGGCCCGAATCAAACCCATGACCTATGCACTGTGAGGTGGACGTGATAACCAGTCGAGCACCATGCCAGCCATTTCCAAATTACAACATCATGATGCAAGAGCTACACAATGGCAGATTATTAAAACAATACAAGTGACTATTTTATAAAAAAATACTAAATTAATATTTAACAAGATGGCCCCTCTAAAAAAAATGAATTGCCCACCGCTGACTTGCAGTATGGGACCCTGTGATCAGACAGCTTACTAAGCACCCTTCTCTAGGTGTCCACCTTTCTTTATTTTGACCATGGAGCGCTTTTTGCGCATTTTGACAGACCACCGCGGCGCAGCGACATGTCGATGAACTTCTCGGCAACGGCACTCCTGCGATGCGTTAGGCCGTCTCGCCAGGATTGTAGCCGTCAGCGGGCAGACAGCCTCATCAAGCCAGTCGTCACAACAGTTGATACTGGGCTACTATGCAACGCGTTGCGAGGGCCAACTTCAAAATAAAAGCCAAACAAGTCCAATTATACATGGACAGCAATGCCATAGCTTTATTTTGAAGTTGGCCCTCAGAACCAATCGTGGCGGCTGACCTGAAATATCCTTAGAGCACACAAGTGTGTGGACAGGCTTGAACTTGAGCACAATCTTCAATTTCCAGTGCTCATGTGCACTAGCGCACCACTTTATGTGCACCCCTGTTTATACACTTAATACCTTTAAGCGAGTTTCAGAAGCTCACCTGTTTGGCCGGAGAAAGTCGGAACTGGCTTGGGGGGGTTTGGGTTTGGGTAGGTGGAGGAGTTTCCACAATGCTTGGACTGGCCACTGATGACGACGTAGAGCTGCAACGGGATCGATCCGAGTAAGCCGTCCGAGGGTGGTAAACTAGTGAAGAAAACCAGAAGACATGGCAGGTTAAGAAAACTCTTTCACACTTAGCTGGTGCCAGGGCCAACCAACCATTTTCGACTCCAAAACTTGGAGGTTTATGTTTCAACATTTCACAATGGCTGCTTGATTTGATATTCTGCATGTATGCCTTTTTTTTTCAAGTTCAGAGAGAGTTTTTGAGTCTTTTACTGTTTTGAACAGATTCATTTTAGGTTCACCCTGGATTTGGTCATTTTATAAGTAGCTCGCATGCTGAGAAAGTGTGGTCAGCCCAGCTTTAAAGCCATCAGCAGCAGCAGTGCCTGACACATTGGGCACTCCCTTTTGGGGCCCGTATGACAATGCTCCAAGTTTCCCCAACAGTCGGCGAGAAGTAGTACGTGCTACGAACGTATTTCCGAATGCACCCACGATTTTGAGGGTGAATCCAAGCTCCACTGTTCTTGGTCTCGGGTTTGCCAAATATATTTCCCCCAACAAATTCAACTTCTACCCCAGGGTGACTGAAATTATTTTCTTCTTCATGATGCATTTTTGACTGCTACAACTTATACTCCGAAGCGATGTATAGTCTAAAAAATACGGTCATCTCAGCGAGGAACATGGTTCATTTAGGATGCATATCGTCACCTTCTTAAAATAATGGCCTTAGTACTTTGATTTCCCCAAACAAACAATAATTCCATTTCAGGGGTAGAATTGAACGATCTGTTTAATTAAGGATGTAGCCAATTTTAGCAGAGGTGGCCAATGTCATGAGATGTTTAAGGCAAAAAGATTTTTGGGGTCAACACATGACCCCTCCGTGAGCCGTCACCTTACCGTGGTGGAGGGGTTTGTGTGTCCCAATGATCCTAGGAGCTAAGTTGTCCGGGGCTTTATGCCCCTGGCAGGGTCACCCATGGCAAACAGGTTCTAGGTGAGGGACCAGACAAAGCACGGCTCAAAGACCCCTTATGATGAGTACAATTAATGGATCTCAGTTTCCCTTGCCCGGACGCGGGTCACCGGGGCCCCCCTCTGGAGCCAGGCCTGGAGGCGGGGCTCGTTGGCGAGCGCCTGGTGGCCGGGCCTACACCCATGGGGCCCGCCCGGGCTCAGCCCGAAGAGGCAACATGGGTCCCCCTTCTCATGGGCTCACCCCTTATG